GTGTGTGTGGTGTGTGTGTGTGTGTGTGTGTGTGTGTGTGTGTGGTGCGCGCGGTGCGAATAGCAAGCAAATCGTGTTTCTTGTTCGCCACGGCGACGCGCGCAATCAGCAGGCTAAATGTGTCGTTATTCGGCACTTATTCGCACTTCCGCACTTATTCGCACTTATTCGTCCTTATTCGCCAACGATAATATTCTTCGGCGTTCTAAATACGTTTTCAAGTGGAGCCGGGCAGGCCTTTTTTGAAAAACACGCACGTGTGGCATGGTACAATCGTATCTACATGCTTCAGCTCGCTAGCAGCAATCCCGCCACGATGTGGTGTATGTGGGTGTTGTATGTGTATATTGTTTGGTGTGTGTGTGTGGTGTGTGTGTGTGCTGTTGTGTGTGTGTGTGTATGTGTCCGCTGGGTGGTGTAGGTGTGTGTGTGTGTGTTTGTGTGTGTGTTGTTGTGTGTATGTGCGAGATCATTAATGTGTGTGTGTGTGTGTGTCGTGTGTGTGTGTGTGTATGGTGTGCTGTGTGTGTGGTGTGTTGTGGGTGTGTGTGTGTTGTGTTGTGCGCGCGGTGGCGAAATTAGCAAGCAAAACGTTGTTTTGTTCGGCAGAGCGCGACGGTGCGAATAGCAGCAAATGTGTCCTTATTCGCACTTATTCGCAGCTTCGCACTATTCGGCACTTATTCGTCCTTATTCGCAGAATAATATTCTTCGGCCGTGTCTTATACGTTTCAAAGTGGAGCCGGGCAGGCTGACAGCAACTGTGCATGGTCAATCTTATCTACATGCTTTACGTTAAAATCTACTCTGGGGTGGGACCATGACTAGATGACTTTAAATGTCCGTTCGCAACACTCCAGTGCCTAACTCGATTAAAATTGTACTTCTACATGTATATTATTCTTTATAACGATGTACTCCTGTATTTTATGTATGTTCTTATGCACAATTAAAGTTCTGTTTTCAATCTTCATCTTCAATCTTCACTTCGCTAGGAGCAGTCCCGCCACGATTGTGTGTATGTGGGTGTGTGTATGTGTATGTTGTGTGTGTGTGTGCTGTGTGTGTGTTGTGTGTGTGTTTGTGTGGTGTGTATGTTGTCCGTGTGTGTGTGTGTGTTTGTGTGTGTGTGTTATGTTCCGTGTGTGTGTTGGTGTGTGGTGTGTGTATCGTGTGTGTGGATATGTGTGTGTGCTGTGGTGTGTGTGTTGTGTGTGTGTCATGGTGTCCGTGGGTGTGTGTGTGTGTGTGTGTGTTTTTTTAGAATATGTGTGTGTGTGTATGTGTGTTGTGTGTGTGTGTTGTGTGTGTGTGTGTGTGTGTAGTGTGTGTGTGTGTGTGTGTGTGTGTGCCGCGGTGCGAATAGACAAGCAAACGTGTCCCTGTTCGCACGTGGCCGCGGTCGAATAGCAGGCAAATGTGTCCTTATTCGCCACTTATTCGCACTTCGCAGCTTATTTCGCACTTTATGTCGTCCGTATTCGCAAGATAATACTTCTTCGGCCGTTCTTATACGTCTTTCCCCAAGAGTGGGAGCCGAGACAGGCTGACAAGCACGTGTGCATGGTAGCAGATCTTATCTACATGCTTCATTCGCTTAGCAGGCATCCCGCCACGCATTGTGTGAGTGGGTGTGTGTATGTTATGTGTGTGTGTGTGTGTGATGTGAGTATTTGTGTTTGTGAGTGTGTTGGTGTGTGTATGTGTTCCGAGTGCTGTGTGTGTGTGTGTGTTGTGTGTTGTGTGTGTGTGTGTGGTGAGTGTGTGGTTGTGTGTAGAATGTTGCGTGTGTGTGTGTGTGGTGTGTGTGTGTGTGTTGTGTGTGTGTAGTGTGTGTGTGTGTTTTTTGTGTGTGTTTCAGTGTGCTGCTGTGATACAGTGTGTGTGTGTTGTGATTATATGTGTGTGTGTGTGTGTGTGTGTGTGTGTGTGGTGTGTGTGTGTGTGTGGTGTGTGGTGTGATGTGTGTGTGCGCGGTGGGGGCGAATAGCAAAAGCAAACGTGTCCTTGTTCGCACGCCGCGGTGCGAATGAGCAGCAAATGTGTTTCTTATTCGCACCGCGATGCGAATATCATTTGCGGATCTGATACCGGGCACACTGGCGCGACCTTTTTTTACATTCCGTGTCAAAAAATAAGCAGACGAGCGAGGTGCCGGTTTGTTGTTCTCCGGAAAAAAGTAAATTCTCGTAGTAAGTATATTCGTGTGGCATAGTAAAATTTATCTACTGCGAAGTGAGCTGACCATACCATTAGGGACGGTGAAGGCGCAAGCGCGCTACCGTGGAGGTCGCCGATCCTGGAGACTGGGTATGGTATCGAGTCGCCTGCACCGGGGGAGCGATGATCGGGGTTATGATCGTATGGGCGCGAAGCCAGCGGTGCTAGGCGAGGGTAGAGT